TTCCTAGATATTTTATTCTTTTTGATGCAATTGTAAATGGGGTTGTTTTCTTAATTTCTCTTTCTCATAGTTCATTATCCTATACTAGAGGTCTGGTGCATGACATTAGTGCACTGGAGGGGGGGTTGTCCCTCAGCCTGGCCTGTGCCCTCTCGCAGTCTGGGACCCCTTGGGGGATGTCTGCCTGCCGGCTTAGGCCCAATTCCCACAGGGAGCAGGACTAAACCAGCAGTCGGACATCCCCTGAGGGGCCCTTAGGGCTGCTGAGGAGGTGGGAGAGGCTCCCGCCACCGACACTGCACTTGCCAGCTGTGAGCCCGGCTTCTGGCTGAGTGGCGCTCCCCCTGTGGGAGTGCACTGATCACCAGGGGGCAGCTCCTGCATTAAGCATCTGCCCCTTGGTGGTCAGTGCATGTCATAGCAACCGGTCGTTCCGCTGTTTGGTTGATTTGCATATTAGCCTTTTATTATAAGGGGGGCAGGCCTAAGCCATCAGTTGGACATCCCTCAAGGGCTCCCAGACTGTGAAAGGGTGCAGGCTGGGCTGAGGGACGTCCCCCCCAACCCCAAGTGCACGAATGTTGTGCACCAGGCCTCTAATTAGTGTATAAAAATACAACCAATTTCTGAATATTTGTTTTGTATACTGCTACTTTACTGAATTTATTTATCAGTTCTTGTAGTTTTTTGGTGCAATCTTTAGGGTCCTCTATGTATTGTATCATATCATTTGCAAATAATGACAGTTTTACTTCTTTCCAATTTGGATATCTTTTATTTCTTTTTTTTTGGTCTGGTTTCTATGGCTAGGACTTCCAATACTATCCTATATAATAAAGAGCTAATGTGCTAATTAGACCAAATAGCAGAACGACCTTCCAGATGACCTTCTGACAACCATCTGGACGACCTTCTGGAAGAATCTGGGGCTGCGAGGGCTGAGCCCCTTGCACGAATTTCGTGCATTGGGCCTCTAGTGTTGAATAAAGGTGGATTTCCTTGTCTTGTTCCTGATCTTTCAGCTTTTCCCCATTGGGTATGATGCTAGTTGTGGGAACATAAGCCGACTCTTGACTTAACCTATATCTAATAATAGGCCCTTTCCCTCCTGTCTCACTCACCATAATGCCTCCACCCAGACTAATTATAATCCTGAATCCTGTGTTCATTAATCTTTTGCTTTTTTTTTTTATTAAGGTAAAAGTTGCATAACATAAAACTAAGCATTTAAAGTGCACATTTCGGTGACATTTTAGTACTCAGACAATGTTGTAACTATCACCTCTATTTAGTTCCAAAATATTTTCATCACTCCCCCAAAACCCCATACCCACTAACAATCATTCTTCATTTCCCCTTTGCCCCTAATGTTTTCTGTCTCTATGGATTTACCTTCAATGGCCATTCTGTATAAATGAAAACATATAGTATGTGGCTTTTATGTCTGTTTTATTTCACTTAACACATTGCTTTTGAAGTTCACATGTTGTAACATGTGTCAGTACTTTATTCCTGTTTATGGCTGAATAACATTCCATTGTATGATTATTTTGCTTATCCAGTTGTCTAGTCGTGGATACATGACTGGTTTCTGTACTTTGGCTGTTGTGAATAGTGCTGCTATGAACATTCCCGTATAAGGTTTTGTTTGAACACATGCTTTTATTTTTCTCGGACATATAACTAGGAGTGGAATTACTGGGTCATATGATAATTCTAAATTTAACTTATTGAAGGACTGCCAAGCTGTTTTCCATAATGGCGTCAACATTTAATATTCCCAAGGGGGAGTTTAACTCTTGTGTCTGATTCTGGAATCTTCTTCCTCTACTCTAGCTTGGATGTTCCTGTCCGGCAGAAACTCCCATTTTATTACCTCTGCAGGGCTCCTTATGGCTCTGAACCCCAGCTCCTGGCCTGCCTGGCTCCGTCAGGCGTGGAGGCGCAGGGCTCAGTGCTTTCCGCCAGCGCTGCGGCCCCAGGCAGTGCCTGTGATCAGGTGCCCTCAGAGACCCTCGTGAGCTGCTCAGCGTGGCGTGCACACACTGCCTACTGGAAGCAAGGTCTTCCCGCTGGTATCTTACACCCAGAGGTTCCTCGGGGTAAATCTGACTGAACGTGAGCTGTGCTTTCAGAGCCACGTTTCCTCCGAGGCCAGGTGGCGAAGATTCAGAGGTGAAGGTTGCCGCATGGAATGGAGTGCGATCACCTGCAGCCTTTGACACTTTGGACTGGACTTAGTCCTCGCTGCGGCTGGGGTGGCATCGGGACAATTCATGCGTAAGGGGGAACAGGACAGAGTGTGCGTAAGGGAGGCTTTTGTTTGCGTGCATGATGACATGTTAGGGCTCTGAAGTCCTTGTGGGTTCAACTCTAAGTAAGATCTTTGCCAAGATCTGCCAATTCTTGCCGAAGGGGCCAGATTGAAGCTGTGATTTTTAACTCTTGGTTGAAGTGTTAATTCTTTTATCCAACTGGGAAAAATGTACTACAAAATGGACATATTTTGGCTAGTTCAGCGTTGGCAGGGCCTTGCATTTTATCTTTTTACAACAGCATGCCGACAACTAAGTATCTTCCCTGTAGCATCATAGTGACAGTAAACAAAGAAGCTGCAAGGAGCCATCAGGTAATGGATGGTTCAATAGTTTATGGTCATCTTATTGGAGGATATTGTTCAAGTGCTGAAAAATGAAGTCTGTGTGCATGTAGAGATATAAGCACAAGAAGAAAACAACATATTGCATTTTGCCTTATTGTGCTTCACAGTATGTTGTGTGTGTGTGTGTTTTTACAAATTGAAAGCAAGACCCTCAACCAGCAAAAAGATTACAACACACTTTCTTGCGATACTCGCTTTATTGTAGTGGTGGTGGGCGGCCTGGAACCCATCCTACAGTATCTCTGAGAAATGCTTGTATACACCATCATCTACTTTTGTTCAGGAACAAATGTATCTGTATACAGGAGGTACTTACAAATATTAGGTAATATTTGTCAGGCTCTTATTGTGTGTAGCACTAGGCTCATTTCTCTCATACCTAAATGATGGCATTTAGTTCTCACAACACTGTGAGGTAGGTACTTGTTTAATTGCTGAGGAATCAGCAGCCTGGGAAGGTTAGGAAGTTTGCCCAGGGTGCATAGTGGGTTAGAAGCAAAACTGGGACCACACCGGAAGCCTGCCCTCCCAGCCACCATGCTGGGTGTGCTTCTCGTTAGCACTGATCCGCTGAAGGACTGTGCGGTGGCGTGGGGGTTATTTAGTGGGGACGCCATGTGAGACTCTTACATGACACGGGTACTGAGCTAGATCTCTTCCAGGTCCTTCCCGCACTCCGAATTTGTGTCCAGGCTGCAGGAGCCTTCTGAAAGTGCCACTTCTCAGTACAGGACACCCCACCCTACCCAGGGCCTCCCCACCCCATGATGCTATTCATTTTTGATTCAGAGGGCAGTTGGGCGGCTTTGTTCACGGACTTCTTGCTAGTTCTCAGAAACTTGACAGAAACTAGCAAGAAGTTCATCCTTAAACTTCATCCTTAAACTTCACCTTGCCCTTACAGCACATTTAGAACAGAATGGCAGCAGCTCTGACTGCTAGGGTGACCTCGGTCTTCAGTTCACATTAAACATTAGCTCACATTGCCTCAAGGCCTGGAACCAATGTACCCAGAAGAACTTTACAAAGGGACAGTGATGTTGAAACAGTTTAAGTGCAAACAGGAGGATTCCAGGCGCTATCGTCTAAAGTCCCTATTTGACTCGTCTTTTTTCCATCCATCTCTGGCTCGTTCCTCTCTGAACTGTCAGCGGCCGCCTGTGTCTGAGCATTCCAGCCTCTTGTTGTTAAACGCCTCTGATTCAGTCCATGTATGTAAAGTCTCTCACTTCATCTCTGAAGAGGTCACTTCAATGTAGTTTTAATCGCCCGGAGGCATAGTGCTGCTACTGCTGAGCAATTGGCAAAACTCAAGATTTGGAGCCCCAGACAAGGATTTTAAGTCTTGTGTTAGAAGCACAGAGGGGATTTGGTCACCAGAATCGTTAGTCGGGATTATTACATCCTACCTTCTGCTCCCCACAGTCCAACCTCTGATGCATCAGGTTTTGGTTGATTATTTTTGATTGCTTTCTAGTGGTTTCTTCACCCATCCCCGTTTTCTGTGACCTCGGTTCCCTATTGTTGCTGGGGTCAGAGGGTGCAGCAGATCTGAGAGTGGGTGAGAACGAAGGGAGAAATGCCATCATTTAGTGCATGAAGTGGTTAAAGATACATTCTGTTTATTGCTTTTCTTGGTCGAAGCAAAAAACAATGCAGAGTTAGGTGAGCAGGATGTTTACTAAGTGTACAGGGCTGAAGATGTAGGTGTCTAACTGAACATCCGGAGCTTTGGGACACGGGGCTCTGACAGGTTCCCTGTAACGAATCTGTCTCTCAAGAGTCCTTCCCCCAGAGCCCAGATACTTTTTAAACATTTGCTTCTTCGTGTGATTGCCAGCGCCTCAGAGAAGTTGACAGTTTGGGTGACTTCTATCAGCAGAACAATGTGGGCTCCACATGAGTCTGTTGTGTAACACCCCAGCGGCCTCGGAGTCCAGGTGCACGCTCTCGCTCTGAGGAGGCGGGAGAAGGGGAGAGCCCATCCAGGCAGGCTGTGGGGGAGGAGGGGAGGACCCAGCAGCGGAGGCCACCCTGTGTTGCAATCGCAGCCTAAACCAGATCCCTGGAAAACGAGTTTCTTGCTGCCTGTTTGTGTCCCTGAGTAACCACGGCCCCCACCATCCAAGGTGGGATGTTGACCTTGGGGCAGCATGGAGTCTGGCTGCAGAGCCCGCTGAGCGTCCCTTCCACAGGGTCTCCACAGCCTTCTTTCCCATCACTGACAGGTGCCCAGGCCGGGAAGTCAGAGCTGAAGACGGAAATCCCTCCAGGTGAGGTGATCCCTCCCAGGAAATGGACTCCTCCCGTTTTCTCACATGACGTGCTGGCACTTTCACTTTTCCATATATAGGGTCACTCAGGAGCCAGCTCTGCCAGTCCAGGTAGCGACACTGCCACCTTCAGTCCCTCCCTTCACAGCATCCTCACCTTGCTCTCGAATGCTCACCAGCAGTTAGGCGGGAGTGACCCCTGCGCTTCTGCCAACCACAGGCCTGTTGGGTTTAAAGAAAAGAGAAAAACTCAGACAAAGTCACCACATTAAAATAGTTGCCTTGAGGAAGCTGAGCGGAGACCTGTGGAAAGATGAACGGACCGGTGGATGGCTTGTATGACAGCTCTCTCAGTGAAGAAGGGGCCTTCATGTTCACTTCGGAATCCGTAGGAGAGGGACACCCCGGTGAGTAGGCTGTACCGGCCCAATGTGACCTGGACCAAGGGAGTCACTTTTGCTAGAGGTGTTAGTGACTCTCAGGGGTCTCTGGAGGAACACTGTGAAGTATTTTTTTTTTTTTTACTCTATTTTTAGTTTTGTAAAACAGATCATCACATGCCAATGAAGCATTGCAAGTGAATGAAGCTGAGGGTTCCTGCCGCCACCACCACCACGGGCATCAGCCCTCAGCGTGGGGGCGCTGCAGCAGAGACCACGCAGCTGGTTGTCTAAAGATAGTCAGGGACATAAAATTATCATCAGATACAAACATTATATATATATGTATTAGTAAATCTTTAACTTATTATCAACGAGCAGCTTAAGTCAACAGAAAATGTTCCCTCAAACAAGACCGAGGGTCACCAAGTTTTTCGTGTAAAGCACATGTAGCTTAGGAATAAATGGCAGTGCATCCTCTGTTGGGATGGAGCTCCGGGTTCTGGAAGTCTCTGGTGTGTTATAGAAGAAAGTGCAGATGACTTCTCGAAGAGGAAGAAAATTCAAGCGTTCTTTTGGTACCTGAAAAGTAGGTGGGCTGTGAGTTGGGGAACTGAGAGAGGCTTCCTTGGTGACAGTGGAGACCAGGATCAGAGCCTCAGTGTTTAGAGGAATGGTTCTCAAACTCCGGGGTAAAATGCAGAGTGCTGGGCCTCACCCCCAAACTCTCTGATTTAGTAGGTCTTGGGAAGGCTCAAGAATTTGCATTTTTGGGAGCAGTTGAAAACTGGCAATTGTTGTCAGTTTTGGCTTAAAAAAACTCTTAAAAAAAGAAGTTGCTTTAAAAAATATATATATATATATATTATTGATTTCAGAGAGGGAGGGAGAGGAAGAGAGAGGTAGAAACATCAATGATGAGAGAGAATCAATGATTACTGACATCGAGCCGTGACCTCCTGGTTCATAGGTTGTCGCTCAACCATTGAGCCAAGCCCACCGGGCAGAATTTGCATTTTTAATAAGTTCCCAGGAGATGCTGCTGCCTTTAGTGTGGGAATCTTACTTTGAGAACCATTGTTCCAGGAAAACCCTGGGGCAAGACACACTGATTTATGTATTTAAGCACTTCTTCAAAATTCATTGGACCAGTTGAAGTTTTTGGTAACTCATCACCATGTCTACTTTTTTTTCTTGTTCTTGTTCTTTCTCAAAGGGATTTAACTTCTGCAACTTGTAACTCAGCTTTAAATATTTCAATACACTACTCCTTCCATATGCTTTAGCCAGTGGTTATCAACTTGGGGCGATTTTGTCCCCTTCCCCCCAAGGACACTTCAAAAAGTCTGAAAACATTTGGGATTGTCACAACCAAGGGGGGTTTGTAATGGCCATTTAATGAATAGAGGCCCGACATTTTCCTATACATCCTGCATACACAAATCCATCTCCCCACAAGAAAAAATTTTCCAGCCCTAAATGTCCACAGTCGCGCTGTTGAGAAACCTTGTGACTTAATTCAATGTAAATAATCTTTTTTATTATGCATAATTTTACAAAGTTTCTAGGTCTACCGTACTCATAATCTCTGCTTCATTGCTCTATCTGGCAAAGTCTGGACAGCTCCCTGGCTTTTGAGAGCCAAATATAGGTTAGGATTTGCTCCGCCTGGAGGAAGTGGGTGCTTTGGCAAGCAATGGCCAGGGGTCCCATGGCACACACAGCAAGGTGCTCGGTGGACAGAGAAGGAAAATTCCAGCCAATCAAGTGGTTGTTTTGACTACTGAATGGCAGACCTTCAGTTTGTCTGATTCTCCTTTCACTTGCCACTAAAGATTAACTGTCCACATAAGTCAGTCAGTTTCCACTAAGGTTTGGTGACTTTTTGCTCGTTATTCCAGTGCTAAATCCCTCTCCACCAGAAAGATAAAATTAATGCTTCTTTTTCAACTTCCAACAAAACCAACTATTAGCTATCTTATGGCTACTAAGTGATAACGATAAAAATTTCCAAAGCCTAAAGAAACAGTTCTGAAGGGCCTCCTTAGATGTTATCTTAGTTTGTCAAGCTATCTTTTTTTAAAAAATATATTTTTATTGATTTCAGGGAGGAAGGAAGAGGGGGAGAGAGATAGAAACATCAATGATGAGAGAGAGACATTGATCACCTGCCTCCTGCATGCCCCCAACTGGGGATCGAGCCTGCAACCCAGGCATGTGCCTTGACCAGGAATTGAACCATGACCTCCTCTTTCATAGATCAACGTTCAACCACTGAGCCACACTGGCCGACTGTCAAGCTATCTTGACATCCTTGCTCAGCTCCAGCTTTATCCCTAATACCCCTTATCCCATTTCTCTGTGTGCGTTGGGAACACGTGACCCATGTCCTTTAAGTAAGCAGAGTCATCACGATTGGCTCCCAAGAGTCCTGATGGGTCAGCCGAACGTGGATGTTTGAGCAGCAGGACGCCTTCCTTGGGAGGGTGTGCAGAGGCTACGACTCGGACAAACTTAGATTTACAACCAGATCTGCCACTGGCAGGAGGATAGAAAAACTCAAACGTACGGTTATTTTTCTTTTTAAAAGTTTTAAAATTACAGTTGACATTCAATATTATATTAGTTTCGAGTGTACAGCATACTGGTTAGACATTTATATAACTTACTAAGTGATCACCCCGGTAAATCTAGTATCCATCTGACCATACATAGTTGTTACAATATTATTGACTATATTCCCTATGTTGTACTTTACATCCTCATCTATAACTACCAATTTGTACTTCTTAACACCTACCCCTTTTTCACCCAGCACCCTACCCCCCTCTCATCTGGCAGCCACCAGTTTGTTCTCTGTCTCTATGAGTTTATTTCTGTTTTGTTTTTTGAGATTCCACATATTAGTAAAATTATATGTTATTTGCCTTTCTCTGTCTGACTTATATCACTTAGCATAATACCCGCTAGGTTCAAACATGTGTTTAATAGCACTTTCTGCAAGGAAAAATTGGGGAATTTACCTTTAATAACAAATTGACATTTTTAATTACAGAACGTATAATGTGCTTTTGAGAGTAGAACTGCTTGATTCTGGATCCAGGTTCTTAATTTAAAAACTTAAAAAAAGAGAGAGAAACCCAAGGAAACTTTTGGAGGTGATAGATATGTTAATTACCTTGATATGGTAATGGTAACATGCATGTATACATATGTCCAAACTCATAAAATTGTACACATTAATTATACACAACATTTTTATAGACCAATCATATCTCAATAAAACTGGAAAAACCTTATTAATTTATTAAGAGCAGACTCTACGGGTATTTTGGACATTAAATGATATTAATATGTGTAAATAGATAAATAGATGTCACCTTTATTTCAGAATTTGTGAGCATTGACAGTTCACGGGACCCCAAAGCAAGAGTAGATTTCTCCACAGCGCCATCTAGTGGTCTACGAGCTCACCCATGCAGAGTCTTGAAGGCAAACACAGAGTGAGGTCAAAGGTCGGCTGGTGCTGAACTGGTCAGTCCACCTTGACTGCGGAGGTCGGCCCAGCTGTCAGAACATCTGGCCTTTAGGAGGCCAAGTGGCCGTGGGGAGGGTCCGAGAGCTGTCTGTGGGACTGTTCTGAAAATCAGAACTGGTGCTCAGAGGTCCTCTCAGAGAGCCCAGGGCTGGGGTGGGGCTGGGCTGGCGAGTTCTACACCACACGCTGCATCCTGTGGAACCTGCAGCACGTGCATCGGGTTGTCCCTTCTGACTTCACACCTTGGCACCCGATCTCACCGATGTTAGTAGCTGTTTTAACTTCTATGTCCAGGACTTTCCTGGGTGTTAGAATGAAAGGGAATATGTTGAGGGATGAGGGACTCTTAGTTAGAAGTGTGTGTGTGTGTGTGTGTGTGTGTGTGTGTGTGTGTGTGTGTGTGAATTGCTGTAGACTCTTAGAACTGGTTTTGGAATATATTTCTTTTTTTAGGAATTCTATAATTTTATACATCATACAAAATTAGGCAGAAATGGGAAGAAATAACTTCTTACATTTTAAAAAAAGTGTCCTTTTAGGCAGAGTTGCTATGTAAACTGACAGAATAGCTAATTCTTTTAGCATTTCATTTGTTGTACCTAATTTCCGTGATTTTTTCACGTGTTCATTCTTTTCCAGATAAGATCTGTGACCAGATCAGCGATGCGGTGCTGGATGCCCACCTCCAGCAGGACCCCAATGCCAAGGTGGCCTGCGGTAAGAAGCGCCTGGGCCCTTCACAGGAGCCCTACGGGCAGCCTGAGTCCTTTGCCTGAGGCGAAGCCCTCACCACAGCAGAGTCAGGAGGGCCCCGAGGTGACTAGGGCGAGTCCTCTCACTTCACTGAGGGACAGTGCGTGCGGCTGAATGAGGGCCTTGGCCACCGTCACCGCGTAGGCGTGCCCACCATGGAGACCACAGCCTGCTGTCCTCCTGTTGGTGCCCTGGCCTGTCTGCTGCACTGACCGTCTGTCCCTCTCGAGTGCCACCCTGGCCCCTGGATTGAGGACTAGGTGTCCCTCTGAGGGTAGACTTCACCCCGACATCTTTGTAAACAGCTCAGATTCTTTGTTCAGGATCCCACTCCCTGAAGCCCGCAGTGGAGGTTAGCAGCAGGGGCGGGAGAGCGTCACACAGGCTGAGCGCATCCTTTAGGCCAACTACGTGCAGTCGTGGTCTCCTTTTAATCCGCACAGCAGTCTTCTTCTTCGCCTCACCTAACAGTGGAGGAGACAGACAGACAGGCTAAGTAGTTCAAGGTCACACGAGTAGTAAGTGTGATACGAAAACTTGGTACAAAAACTCAGGTGTAACCAGTTCTTTCCAAAGTGTAGCTCTCGGGGCATTGAAGGTGGTCAGTAACCGTGCTGGAATCCACTCCTTTTATTAGCGTTGCTATTGCTATTTCCCATCTGGTAAGGTTCACTGTGAGTCTCTTTATCAGCACGGGGAGAGGTCTAGCCATTGGGCGTCCCTGTGCTGACGCTGTCCACTCCCTTTTGTCCTTCCCTTCCAGAGACGGTGTGCAAGACGGGCATGGTGCTGCTGTGCGGGGAGATCACCTCCATGGCCATGGTGGACTACCAGCGGGTGGTGCGAGACACCATCAAGCACATTGGCTACGACGACTCTGCCAAGGGTAAGGCAGGGCCCGGACTCCATGGGAGGCCCCCCAGGCTGTCACATCAGCGGCTTCTGGACGGGCACAGGCCACCCGGGGAGAGACAGTCCTAGGGGCGCCTGTCGGGGACCAGGGGTCAAAGCCTGGCAGCAGTAGGCAGCTCAGTGACGGCCCACGGAACCGCCCAGTCCATCCATTGTAACTCTGGCCTTGTTTAGTGTCCTGCCCTCTTGGAGCTTTTGGAAGAGAAAGAAGTCTGAGGAAAAGGAGCTGCCCTCAGCCGGGTCCTGTCCTCGGTGGGCACTGGCGCTGGTCTCTGTGTCCTCTTACTTAACTGCTTGAGGACCCTGCTGCACTTCTATGCAGATGAGGACATCCGGGCTTCAAGCTAAATGGTTTCTATGAGGTGACAGTCAGTGCGTGGCTGCCCCTTTTGGGCCTCCCATGCTTTCTGCTAAACTGTGCTGCTGCCCATTATGGACAAGAAGAGGACTTAACCCAGAACTGGTTCTGGGAGCGGGCGAAGGAGGCAGGCAATGTGGGAGCCTAAGCCCAGGGAGGGGCACAGGCCCTGGCAGGAGTGGAGCAGGAGCAATGACCAGGGGTGGGCGAGAGCCGAGAGCATTGAGGCCTGCAGCGGGCAGACCAGGAGGGCCCCCTGCAGGGCATCAAAGGGCAGGGTGAGGGCCCGATGCTGAGGACCTGTGCACAGCGCCGGCCCACTTACTGGCTGTCAGGGTGACGTGGGCATCTGCGTGGGTCAGGGCAGGCTGGGTGTCCTGTGGCACCTTTCTAAGTGAGAGAGCCATCCCGCTTTCCCAGATCACGTGACGCCCTTGGTTGGTTTTCAGCGTTAAGAAGAGTCATTATTTAGACAGTGATTAGGCCAAATGTGAGATGTTTATTGCAAAATGGTGAGTCCTTGGCAGCTCTCTAAAGGTTGTTCATTGGTTGGTGCCTTTAGAATCGGTCACTGGGCACAGGAGTCGGCACAGGACAGAGGTGTCCCTGGAGTTGGGGGCACTGCCTGGCATCAGATGATGCAGCATGAAGTGCCCGGCAGGGAGTCGGTGGCATAACTCACCAGGAAGAGCTGCAGGAGGGCCCAGGGATGCTGACTGAGAGCCGCCTGACTCGGGTGTGCGGGGCTGGGGGTCAGAGGAGGAGCATTCCAGCAGAGACCTCGGGAAGGTGAGGGCATGTCCTCTTTAAGGCCACCCCCGAGTTCATGTTGGTGAAAGGGGTCCCGCTGCAGGAGGCCCGTTTTACTTCGTGTGGCGGTAGGGCCTCGCCTGAAGCATGTGCACACACAATGGATTGGGTCTGTGTCGTTGGCTTGTTTGTTTGCTTTAATTGGCCCACTCTGGCCGCGTGGACAGGAGAGACTGGAAAGAGGGTGACAGCCAGCTTGTCACTAATACCTGACCCTTTGGTGGGGCCGTTTGCTTTAGCTCCTCAGTCACAGGGTCCCTGGGCTGAGGCCTGCGTGTTGGAGGCCCCACAGGGAGAAGACTGTGCTGTCTGTGCACGGTGCTCCCTCCTGCGGCTCCGCGGCTCCGCAGCCCAGACTCCCCTGCCCAGGCCCCAGCCGGAGCCACCTGCTTCCACCTCTGTGCCCGCCGAGCTGCAGGGCGGGCAGCCAGGGCTCCGCTCCGCAGGTGTGGCTTTTCCCTCGGGACCACATCTCAGGATGAGAGGCCTCGGCGCTGGGAGCCTCTGAATGGTCAGGGACACGTATTTGTTCAGTGTGTTTGATACACACGCTCCTCGCATTGCGACGGGGTAACGTCCTGATAAGCCGGCCCTAAGCTGAAGGCATCGTAAGTCAAAATGCACTTAGTACAGCTAACCTGTGAGTGTTCCCGGTTAGCTCGCCAGCTCACACGGCCCAGAACATCTACAGTAGCCACGCTGGGCAAATCGTCCAACAGCGGCTACACTGGAGAGTGCGGGTTGTTGACCCTCCTGATCGAGTGGCTGCCTGGGGCCTGCATCGCCGCCCACCATCTGAGAGACTATGGTACTGAATATCGACAGGGAAAGATCAAGGTTTACAATTCGAAGTATGGCTTCTACTAAATGCATATCGCTTTGGCAACATTGTGAAGTTGAAGACTCCCAAGTCGAGGCCGGTATTTGGGTACTTGGATTAGGCCCATGTCCGGCTTCGGGTAACAGGGTTGGCAGGGCCCGGGTTCCCTCGTGCAGTCATCCAACCTGGGACCTGGGAGGTGCCTCTGGGAGCAGCCCCGGGGCAGGCGTGAGTCACCCACCGCGCTTCAGGGGAGCAGCTGGGGCTGCTGCTGGTTCCCGCACAGCAGTTGTGTGAGGGCGTGTGTGTCTGATCAGGCTGTGACGTAACACAGTGCAGTGCGCAGTGCAGGACTCTCTTTGGCTAAAGAGTCTTACGTGATGGTAAGGATACTGGGCCTTCCCCATTCTGGCATTGGCTCTGGGCCCAGGCAGGTCCCAGCTAGGCTCTCACAGTCTGGGACCCCTCACTTTTTACTGCCCCCCCCCCCCCCCCCCCGCACAAGTGCACGCCAGGAACTGAGGTCGGTTGGTCACTCGCAGCTGCCCTGTGTCTGATGTGTCCCCCCTCGGGCCTGCTTCCCTTCTGCCCAGGCTTTGACTTCAAGACCTGCAATGTGCTCGTGGCGCTGGAGCAGCAGTCCCCAGACATCGCCCAGGGTGTCCATCTGGACAGAAACGAAGAGGACGTCGGTGCTGGAGACCAGGTGAGAGTGCGGAGCCCGGGCACTGGGGCGGGACTCGGGCAGTGCGGCCGCTCTGGCCCTGCTCTGCCCTGTGCTGAGGAGCTGGTGGGGAAGTTCCTGAATAACGGGTTAATCACACTATGGGGTGACCCCTCCTCCTGGGGGACCGCAGGGAGCTGCACGCCCCTACTTCAGGGCAGCCACATGAGGGCGCCACGGGCTGTGGAAGGCTGGGGTTGCTGATGCCGATTTGGGCTGTCTCCCCTCTTAGGATGTTGGGTGGCAGGGACCGTGCCATCCCCTCCACAGGGCCCAGCGCGAGTGCTGCGTGCGCGAGGCACCCGAGTGAGGTTGGATCACAGCGGAGGGTTAGATCTGAGGTCAGCCGCCCTGGTCTGAAGCGGGTGTGGCTCAGTGGGCTCTCTCCCCGCTGCAGGGCTTGATGTTCGGCTATGCCACTGACGAGACGGAGGAGTGCATGCCCCTCACCATCATCCTTGCTCACAAACTCAACGCCCGGATGGCAGAGCTGAGGCGCTCGGGGGTGCTCCCCTGGCTCAGGCCCGACTCGAAGACTCAGGTGGGTCTCTCCTTTGCCTGGTTCCAGACACACACCTCAAGCCCCCCATCCTCTCATTCCCGTTAAGGCCAAAATGTGCGGTCTGGACACAAAGAATTGTGGATTTTGAGAAGAGTATTTATTTGAAAAATCTTCAGCTCTAGATGTTTTCTCCCCCTATTTTATTACGAAAAATTTCAAAGGTACCGGAAAATAGAAAGAAATTTTTTAAGAAAAACAAATTTTTTTCCCCTTCTCAGCATAAGTTGACTCTGGTAATATAATTCCCCAGTTCCTGCCACAAACTTCTGAACGGGTTTCAAACTTTTGGTCACTACCCTGCCACTAACACAGGTCTCCGCATCTTGAGGAAGGTCTGAACGCCCCCTGAGCGAGGATCGTCTGCATCTGTCTGGGCCTTTTCCTTTCTTTCTCATAAAAACACCTTCTCTTTGCTGTTCCTGCCTCTGGCCCTTGGGCCCTGACCACTGGGCTCCCCGCAGAGTGAAGATCCCCATGGAGGTCTGTATTCGAGGCCCGCGGTGATGTCAGCGCTCGAACACCTGGAGGCCTCCTGTCCACCTTCCCTGTCCACCTCCTCCTGTCCTGGGAGCTCCCACCCCAGGCTCCTCTTCCACATCCCAGGGGGTTCATGGCTCTTCTTCCACCCTTGCTCCCCTCTATCTGTGCTAGTGGACCCACCTGGGCTCACTCAGCTCCAAATCTTCCACCTGCAGTCCTCTCCTAACCACCACCCCGTTTTTCACTCACCCTGCAAACCAACGTGCCCAGGAGCCCTCTGTGTGCCACCTGGGCCGGGAGCGAGGCCCACTCTGGTACCCAAGCAGCCTGTGTGCGGGTGTGGGTCCCCTGACGGAGCCTCCCGGCCCCTGGACCCCCAGGCCGCTGCGCTGTGGGGCACTGTGCCCGGACCCGCTGCGAGGCCTTCTCCACCCCCTCCTGGTAGAGGAGTTTCCTCACCTCACCTGGGCTGACTGAACAGGATGAGTCTTTCCACCTGAGCAAACTCCTCCTGCTGATACGGGAGTTGAGTCGCAGCACGAGGCTATTTTTGCAGCTGGTCAGGGGTGTGTTTTCCGTGGTGCATTTTCCCGACATGATGAGATAAGAGCCCTGCTTGAGCCCCGAGCTCGGAGGCCACAGCTCTGTGGGTCTGCAAGGACGCCGCTGGGGCTCACGGCCGAGGGGAGGTCAAGGGCGGGAGCAGAGGAGACGGGCCTCAGCCGCCCCTCGGGATCTGAGCTTTCTCCTGTGGCTGAAGGGCAGATCTAGCCCTAGAGCCAGTAGGGCCCCCCCTTGTGAGAGCCCCCAAATCCAATCCCTCCCACAGGGCTCTGAGTGTGCACAGCCCAGCAGCTAAGGGTTGCTTCAGTCCACAGATGTTGGTGTGCATCGCCCTGCTCACCGGATGTCATGTGGGCAGGGTTCCTTCTCTCCCTTCTCCTGACCTCACCCTGTTGCTCTTTGGACCAGGCAGGACGCAGAGTGAGAGTGTGACACAAGTCCAGTGTTGCATGGACATCTGCGGGCCTGGGGCTGGCAGACACTGGCTGCAGGCACAGCCCCAGGAGGGCACTGCTTGCTGCCCTGTGGTCCTGTCGAGGCCCTGGGGTGGGAGCAGTGCTGTGCCTGCAGCCAGTGTCTCTACCAGGGCCCCTGGCATAGCTTCACTCCTGCAGGCCCCCACACGCCAGAGCCCCTCAGGGCACTGCTCTTGTGGGTTCACACTGACTGGGTAGCAACGGGGCCTGTGGCTCCAGCATAGCCCTGAGGGTCTTGAATGACAGCTTCCTGCTGGGCAGAGCCCCCGCCAGGCCACACAGCTCCTGGTCAGAGCCCGGCTTTGCTGGCTGTGTGACCTTGACCAAGGCATTTATGTTCTGGACCTCAGCTTTCTTGTCTTTAAGACGGGCTGGTAACAGCCTCTTAGAGCTTTTGGCATGATTCCTGGCATACAGTGCATGCTCGGGCCATGCCATTTCTTTAACCAGCTTCGTCTGCCGTGCTCACCGCTCCTCCCTCTCACTTGCCAGCCCCTGCTGCCCTGGCTGCTCTCCGCCTCACAGCCCGGCCAGGCGGGGACGCCAGGCTCTCCCGCTCACTGAGGTGTCAGGAAAGGACAGGAGCAGCGTCTCGTCTGTGCTGCTGTGGGAATGGCACGGGCTTTGGACCAGGCAGAGCAGGGTTTGGCTCTTTGGCTTTTCTCTGACGATCGTGTGGCTTCAGACAAGTGGCTTCACTTCTCAGAGCCGTGTTCTCATTTGTGAAATGGAGCGCACAAGGCCTGCCCGGCTGGAGTGGCTTACAGAGTAATTGGTCCTGCACAGAACGGGCACAGCCTGGCCTTGCTGGGGGCAGTGATGCTGGATCTGTCCCTGTGGCCTGATCTGGAGGGTGCTGCGGGCAGGTGCCGCCCGCCGGGTGCTGTCCGCTTCCCTCTCATTTGCCAGAACACCCAGAGCTGGCAGCTCCCTCGGCCTCAGCCAGTAAGTCACTGGCCCTGTCTGCCTCCAGAGCTCCTCCCCGAGAGGCTGGAACAGCTGGCCGTGGCCCGCAGACTCCTGTGTCCTTGGAAGGAGCCAGAATAGCTTGGCTCTGGGACATAGAGGATCAAGGGAGGGCTTTGACCAGGGGACACTTGTTGGCAACCAGAACCCTCTGAGATAGCAGTAAAGGGGTCCAGTGGGTCATAGAGAGACAACTGTGTAAACCCCGAGTCTCCAAGGGGCACTAATTGTGGCCACAGGTGGGACTAGCTTATGCCTGATGCCCAGCCATCGCATAGCACTAGGCAGCTATTCAGATACCAGATGCGTCAGATGAGCTTTCCTGCAGGCCCTTGGAAGACAGCAGGCCCCTGGCTCCTGGAGCCCTGGCTGCCTCTGTGCCCAGCAGTGATGTGTCCTCCACTCAGGGCAGGGCCTCACGAGTCTCCTGCCCTTCTGACCGACAGGTGACAGTGCAGTACATGCAGGACAACGGCGCGGTCATCCCCATGCGCGTCCACACCATCGTCATCTCTGTGCAGCACAATGAGGACATCACGCTGGAGGACATGCGCAAGGCCCTGCAGGAGCAGGTGATCCGGGCCGTGGTGCCCGCCAAGTACCTGGACAAAGACACCATCTACCACCTGCAGCCCAGCGGGCGCTTTGTCATCGGCGGTCCCCAGGTGCGCCCCGGTCTCTGGATGAGGCCCTGGTTTGTCTGTTACTGGGGTGCTCCCTCCCGGAGCACAGACAGTAGGGGGCTGTGTGACTCAGCCAGGTCTGGCCTTGGACACTGTGAAGTCAGCTCCCTCTCTGTGAGGCTTGCTGTGTACCTGTCAGTACCTGAGGGACGGGGACATGTCCCCAGGATTCCTCCACCTGTGCTGCCTGGCCCTCCCACTCCAGACAGCCCATCCTTTTTTGTTGTTGTTGTTAATCCTCACTCGAGGTTATTTTCCCATTGATTTTCAGAGAGAGTGGAAGGGAGGGGGAGAGACAGAGAAACATCTATGTGAGACACATCGATTGGTGGCTGCGTTGCCTCCACCATGTACCCTGACCAGGGCTGGGGATCTAGCCTTGCAACCAAGGTACATACCCTTGACCGAATCGAACCTGGGACCCTCCAGTCTGAGGGTTGACACTCTATCCACTGAGACAGACTGGCTAAGGCCAGACAGCCCATTCTTGATGCCATGCTTGCCCAAGTGGCTGCTGCCTCACCTGCTAATGTGCTAACTCGCATCGCAAATGACTGACCTTTATCAGGTGGCGCTCACGGGTCTTTGGCACAGGCTCCCTTCAACTCCTGTGGGCACTGAGGTGGGCAGTTTATTATGTGGACACCTGCTGCCCCCTCTCTTCTGCCCCATGGGAGCGAGGCCACGGAGATTGGTATGGCATCTCCCTGAGGCTGCCGGCCACTGTCGGGGCCTCAGCTGTGGCTGTGCTGCCACAGAGCAGAAGCCCCGTAACAGGCCCTGTGACCAGGCAAAGTGCAGGAGCACAGCCAGAAAGAAAGGCCATGCCGCTTGTATTATCTTGCAGGACCTCTTCAAGGCTAGAAACATGAGTGTGGATGTGATCTCTAACAGAGGGAATAGCAGGCACTTTTCTCTAATCATTTAACCCAGATCCCTGGCATCTCCACTGCCGGGTGTTGCACAGAGCAGACACGGGAGGAAATGGGCGCCATGGCGCTTACGGGCAGCACCAGCGAGGCCCCGGCCCGGGTGTGCTGATTACGGCGCAGTTGCCTCCTGCAGTTCGATTTCTGCACGGTGATTGGCTCATGAAGCAGAGGCAGTGGGGGCTGGCTGCCATCCCAGCGGGCTCATCGTTTGCACTTTCTGATGAGGCTCTGCCGGCTTATTGACTTCCAGCTGGTCAGTGACTGGTCTGAATCAGAGCCCGGGTGTCGGGCCGACTCCAAGCCAAGGAGTTTTTGAAACGTGCCCCCGGGCCACCGCAGGGCACCCTTTCCCAGCGGTGGTTCCGCCCATCACAGTGCCTCAGCGTCCGCTTCCCAGGCCCTGGGGCTCGGCTCTCATCTACATTTCCCCCTCTCCCCCTGCAGGGGGATGCGGGCGTCACTGGCCGGAAGATTATCGTGGACACCTACGGCGGCTGGGGGGCGCACGGTGGCGGGGCCTTCTCCGGGAAGGACTACACCAAGGTGGACCGCTCTGCGGCTTACGCTGCCCGCTGGGTGGCCAAGTCCCTGGTGAAAGCAGGGCTGTGCCGGAGAGTGCTTGTGCAGGTGGGTCCCCGTGCCCCCGGCCCAGCTCTGACCACAGCATGCAGCTCTGGGGGTCGTGTGGGGCACTGTGGCCAGGACCCTGAAGCCCGGGGAGAGGACAGAACCTCAAGGAGAGGGCCATGTACAGAGCCTGCCCACCCCGAGGACGGCAGGGCTACTGGGCATGCGGTGTGGGGATTGTGTTGGTGAGAGGAGTGTGGTGCGTGGTTCCAGCTGCCCTCCCTGAGGATGTGGGGTTTCTGTGGGGGGGCAGAGCCCTGCCACCGGCTTTGGTGCCTGACCTTCGTCTTCCCCGGAAGGTTTCCTATGCCATCGGCGTGGCCGCGCCACTGTCCATTTCCATCTTCACCTACGGAACCTCGCAGAAGACCGAGAGAGAGCTGCTGGACGTGGTGAACAAGAACTTCGACCTCCGGCCTGGCGTCATCGTCAGGTAAGTCCATTGCCCTTTGCTCGTGGGCAGGACAGCTCAGCTCAGCGGGAAGGGAAGCAGGAGGAAGGACGTGCAGTCCCAGGAGCAGGGAGTCTTCGAACCCTGGGCCCAGCACATGCACACCCAGGAGCAGGGTGTCTGGAGCTCAGGTTGAGGGGCCACGTGAGATCCTGCGGGCCCAGTGGAGGCCAACTCCAGGTGGGAGGCCTCAGGAAAGGAAGAGGCTGAGTGGCTAAGGATTCAGGCAGCAAGTCTAGTCCCATCTGTCCTCACTTCTAATGCCATCCCTGCTTTCCAGAGCGTGCTAACTTGGCGTTGGTCTGGGCCAGGTCAGTAGGGTGCAGAGGAGAAAGGCACTGCGGGGCTAGAGTGCACTCCTGGCCCCTGATCGGGGTTTCCTGAGCCTCTGAGCTGCTTCCCAGGGGCCAGTGACAGTGACAGCCACCCCACAGACACGGTGTCGTGTAGACAGGACATTTAGGAGAAATGACCTGAGCGGTGACTCTCTTCACAAAGACTGCGCTAGGCTGCTACTCCTGCACCTGAAATTCGGAGAGAGACTCTGTTTCCTTCCCACTGAAATGACCCTTCCTTCTGCGGGCCTCGCAGGGACTTGGATTTGAAGAAGCCCATCTACCAGAAGACCGCGTGCTACGGCCACTTTGGAAGAAGCGAGTTCCCGTGGGAGGTTCCCAAGAAGCTTGTGTTTTAGAGCCGGGAGCTGGCCTGGCCCCGGAGGCATCTGGGCGGCCGCGTTCCTCTGTTCCAGGACCCCAGCTCTCAGGTCTCCCAGACCGAAGGCGCCGCGTGTGGCCAAGAGGCTGCCTTTCCCCACGCTCCCTCCTGGCCCTTGGACTAAGCCCTGTTCGTCATCATCACGAATGGCAGGAAGCAGGCAGCTTCCCGGTGCTGAGGACAGTCATGGGTTCCCCTACCTCTCCCTCAGACCAAGGCGATGCTCATTTAGTAGAAAAACCATCCCTCCAGGAGTTAATCCCCGCCCTCGCCCCTCCACCCCCCCCAGCCCAGGCCCTGACCGGCTCCTGCTCACTGTTTCCTGGTGGGAGCCAAGGTCAGTGAATCTCCCAGCTCTCCGGCCAGCGCCCAGAGCTAGGGTCCCCTGCCCCCTGGCCAGGCTGTGGCAGGCACAGGGCAGGGCTGACATGGTCTGAGCTAACTAACCACTGGTGCCATCTCTTCCTCAGTCCACATGCTAGGAAGCACCTTCGTCACCCCGTTTATAAGCGGGGAGATGACACACAGACCATCCAGGGAGCTTTCACACGGTCCCACAGCCACAGCGTCAGGGCCTAGGCACAGCCCAGGAGCTCTGACTCAGGAGCCTGGGTCCCACCCCCAAGCTCGTTCCAGAGCCAGGTCTGAGCCATGGGGACGCAGAGTGCAGCGAGGCTGGGTCTCTGGCCTACCGACTCGAGGTTGCTGCGAATCAGGGGATTAGCCACTGGCTCTTGGGGAGCCCTGGGCAATGACCTGCAAAGTCAGGGCAGAAACAAAGCAGTTCCATTTGCCTCATTGATACCAGGAGACAGTTCAGAGTGAGCTGGCTGGGCTGGAGTCTGGAGTTAAGAGGCAACCATATAACCCAGCCCCTGATGCTCAGGCTCAGGCAGGGCTGGGCTGTGTGGGCCTCGGGTCAGTGGCCCGAGTCCAGTCCAGTCCCAAGTCCCACACGTCTCATGTTCAGTGTGACCTCTGGGGCAGGGCTTGAAGCCCAGTGGTGGACAAGTTGGCCGAGATGTCATGGGAGATTCGCGTTGTCAGGTGGCTTCTGGGGCGGCAGGTCCACTCCCGAGGAACCCGAGGCGTCCTTGGTGCAACAAGGTCTTAGAAGTTGTCCGCTCACCTGCTGCTCCATCCATGGCTGGTACCACCCACCCACCTGTCCTCAGCCTGGGCCTCTGGCACCACCCACCCACCCGTGCTCAGCCTGGGCCTCTGGCACCACCCACCCACCTGTCCTCAGCCTGGGCCTCTACCTTCATCCCAGCTCCCAGACCACAGGCTCAAGGGAGGGCCTCCACGGGGACTGGGCTCCTTTCCGGGCACACGGAGCTGGCTCTGGAGGCGCAGCAGCCGGATGCCTCTCCTGGTGTGGACAGCCTGCTCCTGGGCTCTGGGCCTGACCCAAGACCCCAGGGCTTCTCTTTCTACAGGGAAAGGACGCTCAAGGGCAGGAGCAGAGCCCCAGTTACCACCAACCCCAGAGCTTGTGGGGCCACAGGGAGCTCTGCTCTCCCGTTCCCCGAAAGCCGCAGGTGCTGTTCAGGAGAGGGAGGTGCACTTTGCAGGGGGCGGAGTTCCTCTAACTCGGGTTATATTTGAAGTGAAAATCGGAATTTTATACCTTCCTCACCCCTGGAGGAGCAAGATCTTCTTTCTCTCTGTTGTTTATACAGAGCCTATGGGCTCCTGCTGGGCAGTGAATAAAGACCAGCAGAGCCACTCTCTACACTCAGTCTTTTTTGTCTGCAAAGCCTCTGAAACCTCCCCTCCGAGTGGCGTCACCTGGTTCCCCCATGGCTCAGCAAAGTGGGGGTCCCCCCTTGGCAGTCCCCTAAAGTGGGGCCTTCAGCTATTGGGCACGTGGCGCCCGTCCAGCACGGATTGACTTTTCCTCATCCACCAGCTGCTATGTTGTCACTGCACTGCCATAGTCACTGCGTACCACAGGCCACCCAGGCACATGACCGAGGAAACCACGTGCCATGGGGAGAACCTGAAGCCCAAGGAGGGTTGGGAATGTGCCCAACCTCAGATCGCCAGGCGTTGGTGCCCGTAGTCCTGGCCCGTTTCATCCTTCTGCCCGCCTGCGTATTATATACAGTAGCCTGGCATTGGGGGTGGGGGGGTTTGGGCTGTATTTGTCCAATGGTTGGATGAGCAGAGTGGAGGTAGGGGCCTTTAAATGGTGCTCGCTTCCCTTTCACACATTCTGTGAGGAGAACGAGCAGGTGGTTAGAGATGGTCCCGGCAGCAGCCTCCGGGGTGTGGTCCTGAGGCCCGCACACAGCAGGCGCGGAGGTGGGACCTGTTTCTTACAAGCGCACGGTGGGCAGAGGCAGCTCTGGGGAAGCGCCACGGTCCAGCTGAGGCAAAGCCTGGGTGAGGAGGCTTTGGTGAGACCCTGGCCTGAGAGAGGCTGCCCCAGGGTACCAGGAAGGGCAGGCGAACAGAAATGTGACAGAGACGAGGAGAAAACCACAGTCAGGAGGGTCCCTCTGTGCCCTGAGAAGCCACTATGTGAACCATTCAATGAAATGTGTTTCCTAGGAAATAACACATGTTCCCTAAGCACATCTACAAACAAAAGCACTCAGAACACATTGGAATGCTTGCCTGTGGGAACGTGGTAAATGAGTGGGATAAAGGCCAAATAATGAGTGGGAGCAAGATCTGAGCCATGAAGCCTCAAGTGTCAAAATGTCAGGGAAATGTAGCAAAGGAGATGGAGAGGGAGCGGCCTGTGGGGGAGGAGGAGAGTGGGGGTGTCCATGAAAGCCAAGTGAAGACTGTTTCTAGGATAAAGGAGGGGCCACCTGTGTGAGATGGTCCTGATGGGTTAGATGCCTGAGGCCTCTGCCCATTGACTTCCGCCTCGTGGAGGTCATTGGTGACCTGGGAAAGGGCAAAGTCATTAACAACACATGGTCACATGGTAACCCTTTAGTATCTCCAATACATTCTGATTAGAGTTCAAGAGGTATGACTAAGCTGTGACTGCCCCATGTTCCTGTCCGTTGCCCATCAGTTTACCCTCACTCTGGGCTTCATTCCCACCCCCATTCCAGACTCCCTGTCTTCCAGACTCCCTGTCTTCTTTGGTTTCCCCAAACAGGCCCAGCTATTCCTGCCTCAGGACCTTTGCATATGCCATTCTCTCTGTGATACTCTTCTCCAGCCTTTGAATAGATGTTCCAGCTCATCCTGTAGGTTTCAGATAAAATTCCTATGTTTCTGAAAAGCCCATTCCTTGATAAGCTCCCTTTTCTATTTTCAGTTTTTGGTTCAGTGTTTAACACAATGTATAAATATGTATTTCCTTGTTTAACCAGAATCTACGTATCTTATAATAAATAACTTTAGCAAGGCTCCTGGATGTAAAGTAAATATTGAAAAGTCGATTGTATGCTAATATCTATAATAATAAAAGGGTAATATGGTAATTAGACCAGACAGCCGAACAACCTTCCGGACATCCGGATGTCCTTCTGGACAAAGCCGGGGCGGCGGGGGCTGAGGTAGCCAGGGCTGCGAGTGGGACCCTCCGGCCTCCGTGAGCCCATGGCCCCACCCCTGCGCCAGCCGCCAACCCTGCACACGGTTCCCAGGCCCCACAGCGCAGCCCCCTGCCTCTGCTGACCCTGTCATCCCAGCGCCACCCTACACCCCGGCCTGGAGTCATTCATGGGCGCCCGTGGGACCACAGAGCAGTGGCCATGGCGGAGGGCAGCCTGCTCTGCTCCTGAGGCAGCTCTCCTGATGTCCAGGTGGAGAGCCGAGGAGGACTCGGCGCTGGCGATAATAATAGCTCCTGTTTATCAACCGCTCATACTGTGCCAGGCTCTGCGTTGAACCCTTTGCGTGCGTTCATCCTTGAGTCAGCCCCGTGAAGTTGCCAAGATTGTTATCCTTATATTTCAGAGGCAGCATGTGAGATTCAGAAAGGTCAAGCGACTTGCTGTCAGAAGGTGGTGAAGTCAAAAGGGAACCAGAATTTTCTTGACACCCTATCTGCTGCTGAACATAAAGCTGTGACACCCACCGAGGCCTCACTGATGTCAATAAATCGCTCCCCAGCAGCAATAAAACATCAGTAAAGAAGAAGGGGAGAGTGTGGATGAGAAGTGGGAAGGAAGCAACGGTGGGGCACAGTATTCACTGCAGATTCCCTAGATAGCGGATAGCTTCCGGTGGTCAGCCAGATCAGTGCCCCGGAGGCCATCGAGGACCATGAGGGAGGTTACCATCCAGAAACCCTCTCATAGCTCATTGTTCAAGGCAGAGGTTTTAATTTATTGTAGCTGCTAACTATTGCACAGCTGACTGGAGACGCCCTCAAATACTTAAAACTAAAGGTGTTGAAATAAAAACTTATTCTTTCATCCCCGTTATTGACCTCAGAGAACTTTCATGGGGTGAAAAGAGCCCTCTCCAAGCTAGACTTGCACATGCGCATTCGAGTCTGGATGCAGCCCCACTTCCTCCACCCCAGTGACCGCACCACCATCTACTGGTTTGCTTCAGCCAGAAACCTCAAGATCATCTTCGACTACACTTTCGCTTGACTTTAGGTGGATGTAAATATTTTCACTTTTTATTATGGAAAATTTAAAAATATAGATGAAAGGAGAAAGAACAGTGTAATGAACCCTTCTCATATACCCATCACTTAGTTTCAACAATTATCAACTTCTGGCCAGAGTTTATTATTATTTGACAAATATCTATGATATATGAATCATGTACCAAGTTCCAAACTAGGCCCTAGGGCTCCAAAGATGTATCAGATTTGACTGTAGCCCAACCTGGAGGATATAACATCTGGCCTTGGTCCTCGATAGGTGAATAAGAGTTACCCAGAAAAAGGAAGTTGTCCTTATTCATGCCTTCTCTTTCAACAAATGGTTATTATGTGTGAGGCACTGACCTTGGTGCTGGGAACACATAAAGAAACAAGATTGCGTTTCTACCTTCTTGACGCTTGAATAATGGGAAAGAGACATTAAACATGTGACTAGAAATGTGATGAGTATTTTTTAAAAAAATATATTTTTATTGTTGATAGTATTACAGATATTTCCCATTTCCCCCTCTTACTTCCCTTTCCCTAGCCCTTACCTACCCACGCCCAGGTCTTCGCTACTCTATTGCCCATGTCCATGGGCTATGCGTATCCTATATAATAAAAGGGTAATATGCAAATGAACTCAACGTCGGAACGACCGGTCACTATGATGCACATTGACCACCAGGGGGCCGATGGTCAACGCAGGAGCTGCCCCCAGCCCGCAGGCCTTGATTGCCTGACCGGGGCCTGCCAACCAACCTCTCGGTCCCTCTTCCTCCTCCCCTGCCCCTGGCCAGCAGGCTCTGATTGCCTAATGGCGACTGGGGAACCGGGAGTGGGTGACGGTGGGGGGCGGGGCCAGCTGGGGAAGATGGCCCTGATCTCAGGCCAGGCCTAGGGACCGTACCTGCACACGAATTTCTTGTGCCGGGCCGCTAATATCTACTATAAACAGCTAGAAAATAAAATTTAAAAATACCATCTATTATGTCAAAGGCCCTGACTCTATAGGGAAGTCAGTGCTTGCTTGGTTATGCCTGTTGGCCCACAGGACTAGAAATTCTTGAGCTCTGGCCTTGTCTGCTTTGTTGGCCATTTTGTACCTGTCCTGGCACAGAGTAGGTGTGAATGTAGGACACTGGTCATATCAGCGAACGAATTCTAAGTGTGTGTGTTTCTCCTGCCCCCTGAGCTGCCCTTGCAAAGAAGTCCTGCAAGAGATGAGGGTCCTACTCGCCCTCTGGTAAGTTTTGTGCCAGGCTCAGGAGCCCAGAGATGTAAATTAGTCATTCAACAGAGGTGTTTTTTAAAGCTGTGACTATTGAGGACTTATACATATTTTAGTGGTTCAACACTGCGAGTGACCGTGGGATGGAAATGAGATGACAAATCCCATCTCCCAGAGGTGCCAGAAGAAGGTGACATCAGGTGGGGAGGGACTCAGGAGGCATGTGCCAAGGATGGGGAGGTGGGAGCTTGGCCTGAGGGGTATTTTGGAGTTGGTAGTGGATGGAGGAGTGGGGGAATGAGAGGAGATTCTGGGTGAAAGAATTACAGACTCAGCAGTGGTTGGGTTGAAAGGCTTGGGGTGGGAACTTCAGAAGAAATTTTCACCTGTGACAAACCCGGTGGAGTGGGTGTGACCCGGGCACAGAGTAGGAAGCAGGATGACACAATAGCCAAGACATGGAAACAACCTAAGAGTTCGTCAGTGGATGAATGGACAGAGAAGATGTGGCATTGGGATATTATTCAGCCGTGAGAGGGAGGAAAATTCTGCCATTTGCAACACCTTGAATGAGCCTTCAGGGCATTATGCTACGTGAAATGTCAGACAGAGCAAGACAAATACTGTATGACTTCACTTCTTGTGGAATCTACAAAAGCTGAACTCACAGAAACAGTTGAATGGTGGTTACCAGGGCTGGGCGGCGGGAGAAATGAAATGTTGGTGCTGGGAAAATTTCCCAGGGTGGACTGGCACTAACCTCCAAAGGAGGGTGGGGCTGAGAGGTCAAAGAAAGAGGCTGGCACCTTCAGAAGTAAACAGTTACTAAGGGACGTAGGACAGAAGCAGAGTCTTGGGCAGTAGCTAGCCGGTGGATCTCCACACCTGGAAGGAAAAGGGACTTGACACAGAGCCTTCCTCCCAGTGAGTCTGGGGGAGCTATGGTAGATGTAGAGGGTCTACCAGCTGGTGCCTGGGACCTAGCAGGGGCTCAGGAACAGACAGGGTTCCCATTAGGCCTCTCCAGGTACATAGCACCGAACCAGCTTCTGTGGACAAATAGGGACCATGAGCCAGAAGGGCCCTGGATCAGGGCAGAGACTGTATCTATCAGACTAGTCATGGGCAAGCAGGGGAAGCAGGGGAAGCCGGGGAGGACACAGCCTGGGAGGCAGAGGGTTAAGCTGGGTCTCCTAGCCTATCACAGCACCTGATACCAAGGAGCCCTCAGGGCGTGATGTGTGACATTGGCCTGGGCATTGTGGCTGCAGTTTTTCATCTGGACACCAGAGAGCAGAGCTGACTCACATGTTCCCTGTGAGAGAGAGGAGGGGCTCCCTCTTGGGAGTTCTGGGTGCTCCATGGGGATCAGCCCCAGGGCTCAGGGACCTCCCTCCCTCACCAAGGATACATGAGGCCATTCAGAGCCCTTGGGAGAGAGGTCAGGACTCCGTCCCCCACATTCCATTTTCCCAGAACAGGCCCGTCCAGTTACATTTGTTAATCAGTCTGACTAGATTTCTCAGGGCTGTGGTGACCGGTGCCCCCTCTTGTCCCAGGAAGTGCTCCCTCCTTCTCCTCTGCTAGAAAAGGACTTTCTCAGGGGGAAAGGATCATGCACATGAACGCCAGCCCATGCAGTGTTTGTAACCACTGTCCCCCAGCTAGGAGCTGTCCTCATGCCCATGTTACAGATGTAAGAACTGAGGCCATTGCAGGGTCACCATTACCAATGAGGAGCAGAGCCCCAGTTGAGCACGGAGTGGAACTTGGCATGTGTGTGAATTCTCTGTGCGCTCCCTCCCCAGCCCGCCTTGCTGTAACAATGGCTGGTGCCCTTAATGGGAGAGAGGAAGGATGGCTGGGCACCTCTGAGGTGGGGAGGAGAGACTGGCATCAGGCTCCGTGGGTCTGGAAGAGGGTATTTTTGAGTCTAAAATACTCCTCTTGTTGGGGGAGGGTTGCAGGCGTGGGAGCCAGCCCTTGCATGAGGCCCGGGACCCTTCGGCTCCAGGTGCCAGTCCCCACCACGGCGCAGCCTCTCATTTCTCTGGGCTCTGCAATCCCTGTTCAGGACTGGCCTCTTCACCTTGATCACAGTGGGCCTCTAGGTGGGCGTGGTCTCCATGACACACCCAGCAAGGCTGCCGGTGCCCTCCCTATTGCTCCTGGGCGAGGGGAGTTCAGGCATAGCCAGACGGCACCCCTTTCCAGGGCTAATGGCCCCTCCTTTGGGGACTGGCCACTACACACACACACACACACACACACACACACACACACACAGACATGACACACATCCAGACATTATTAACACAGACGCACATGACACATCCACAGAGTTAATATGATTCATACATGCCCTCCACATATACCCTGCCCCCAGACACAAAAGCCACACAGACATCAACTTGAAAATTACTGAGAGTAGATCTTAAATGTTTTCACCACAAAAAAGAAATGGTAATTATTGGAGATGATGAGGTATTAACATTCTGTGGGACTCATTCACCATATGTGTGTCTTAAGTCAACACCTACACTTAAACTTCAGTGTTAGGTCAGTTATACGTCAATAAAGTTAAAAACACCTGAAACACGATGTGCTTCTCTGGCGTTTGGAAAGCAACAGGCCAGTACTGAACGTGCTGAGGGCAGAGAGAAAGGTGGGAAGACTGTGCTGGTAAAAAAAAATTAAGAGAAAAACAAGTAATGTGAATTTTTAAGCGAACTGTCATTTTTAGGTACCAGAAATCGATTTAATTATTATGGTTTTTTAATGAAATGCCATTCATTGGAAAGGCAGCAGTGTAATATGTATGTATTTATTGAGTGTGTTGATAGTATCAGGGAATAACAGGCTCAATTCTTTTCCTTCATGTTGTTGAGCTGCCCCCTAGATTCCTGAAATTAGACCTTGATCCACATATAAGCAGTAAATTACCTTGTTTATCCCTTTGTCTTTAGGTACAATTAAAGTGAACATACCCCTCTGACTGTGGGAATATTATGGCAGAGAATTTAAAGTGGATTCCAGGAGACCTGGGTAATATTCTCTCTCTCTCTCTCTCTCTCTTCCTCCTCCTCCTCCTCCTCCTCCT